TTGGCTGCCTCATGTACCTGATGACCTGCACACGACCTGACCTTGCATACCCTCTTAGCATTCTTTCACGCTATGTTGCTCCTGGGAGACACCGACCAGAGCACATGGCTGCAGCGAAGAGGGTGTTGCGCTACTTGTGCAGTACGTCGGGCATGGGGCTAGTGCTTGGAGGGCGGAGTCCAGTGGTCCTCACTGGGCACGCGGACGCTTCTTGGGCAGACGACCAGGCTACACAGCGGTCGTCGCAGGGTTACACCTTCAGTCTCGGTTCCGGCTCTGTCTCGTGGCGGGCTACTCGCTCGTCCTCTGTTCTCAGCTCCAGTTGTGAGGCTGAGATCTACGCCGGGGCCATGGCTGCACAGGAGCTTCGCTGGCTCACCTACCTGCTGACTGACCTTGGAGAGCCGCCTCGTTCTCCTCCAGTGTTGTACGTAGACAACAAGGCCATGCTGGCCTTGTGTCGAGAGCAGCGCTTGGAGCACAGAACGAAGCACATTGCTCTCCGTTACTTTCTTGCTCGTGAGCTGCAGCAGCGTGGTCAGTTGCGACTTGCGTACGTGGCCTCTGAGGCCAACACTGCTGATGTGTTCACCAAGGCACTTGCGCCTTGTGACCATCAGCGCTTCTGCACCCAGCTGGGTCTTGTACCTGTCTTGCCTCACTTGCTCTCTTCTTGACCTTGCTTGTACTGTCACATATATATACCTGCTCTTGCTTGTCTAGCTCTATATATATATGTGTACTCCTGCATGTGAACTGGCCCTGTTGCCCTGTCGTTGTGCTCGGACTGTGTGGTGACTTTGTGATCCACCCTGAGCTTGCTCTGCTTTGCTTGACTGGTCTTGTGACCCCTTGTTCTCCCCCACTTTGCCTATGGGGGTGTGTCAGAACATATATATAGCTTATACTGTTGTGTAGGCTATAGTGGGGTATCCCATAGGGGGTACAACCCAATTAGGGTTTCCCATATGTACTCACTTCATTCATAGTTCATTCATCCTCGTTCTACTATTCTCAAACCCTGGGGTATCACTCCCCGGGGTAACCCTGATGTGACCTTGGGGTAGAATTTAGCGGGGATTTTTTTTAGGAAGTATAACCCTGTTTTAAGGCGTGTCCAGCGCGTTCGCTTTGGGAAATAGAGCCTTCACACCACCCCAGTTAAAAAAAGATCGCTGTATCTAGAAACGAATCCAGGGTGCGTCGAGTCCAAAACGCATATGCCTTTCAGCGCGCGGACACAACCCCCGGCACGCAAATCCCTACAGTGCCCCAATCGCGTGGAAACTAAGGTAACTGGTTCCCTCGTCAATCCTCGCGCTGGAACTGTCGCGCATGCGAAAATTCCACGTTTGAACGAAAACTACCGTAGTGGGCAGAACGCAATGCTGTACCCTTGTTCGTGTGCACGCTGATTCCAGTAACGTGAGTCAGACGACCCGAGGTACGTGCAGGGGCCGTGCTGTCTCGTGAACGAAAGCCGATTGGGTCCAACATTTTTGTAAAATAAAGTGTTACAACCGAAATGTGGTACGCAAGCGGGCATATGAACGGGCTGAACACGCCCTTACAACTCCCAGTGAAAATCATGAACCCGTATCATAGCTCGCGTAATACCATTACAGCACATCTATTCTCTTCGCTCATGCGTTTTACTCCTTTAGTGTGATCTTCGTTTGCTCCTTTCATAGCACACGACACATTTTGGTGTTTTGACTTTTAGCCGTTGTCAATACAGTGAACTGCGGGCGCAACTTTGAGGACGCGTCACAATTGCGACATCGAGGAGGATCGAGATCACACACCGGAGCTGCATGAATCGATCTCCTCTGAGCCAGATGTGTCGCGATTGTCTTCAGGTTCGATAGTTAGCGGGGTTAGAAGCCTTTTTAAAGGTTCTAAATGCATTACGTATGATTTGAGTGCGGTGACAGATCGATCTGGAAGGGACATCGCGTTCGGTGACCTGTGTCGGGTCTTAACGAACTTATACGAAAACGGGATACAAGACACAGCGAATTACTGTATACTCGGAACATCGATCTCCAGCAGGATCGATGTCGCAATTGTGACGCGTCCTGAGGGCATGCAACGAGGCTCGGTGTTTGAGAGTGTAGTCCCAGTTCCGAAATCCTCACGCTCATCTGGCTTTGTCCAGCACTAACGTCTCACTGTGAGAGTAGTAGGTAGAGTTAGGTGGGCTTGGGAGCCATAGCTTAGGAGCCTTGGTAGTTGAGTTCGAGGGTGAGGAGAGTGTCGAGAAAATTGTAAAGGAGAATGAGAGTTTCACTATAGGTTCAAGGGTACAAATATGAAAGAAGTGAAGCAAGGTGCACCACCTAACAAGCAAGATAACTGCACTAAGTCTACATTGCAGGCAGTTATAAAGTGATGTATACAATAATATTCTGACACACCCCCTAACTGCCTGCAGTGAAGAACCATGTGCAGAAACAATCCCGGAAGGGGTACACCAAGCAGAGCGCAGCAGACAGAGAGGGCAAATGAGGAGGAGAGACTGTGGAGGAAGAGAAGATGCGAGGCAACGACTGAAGCTGCAGAGGCACGGGCACAGGAGCGGCTGACTCAGTGGCTACCGAAGCAAGGGCGACGGACTACTGGAGTGACTGGCTCCGCGGCTATAGACGAGCGGCAGGAGCAACGGACCCACTGGCGTCTGGTGCAACAGGCTCACTGGCTACCGAAGCAAGGGCGACGGACTACAGGCGCTGCAGGCGATACGACAGCTACCTTCACACAACCTCCCCCAGCTGCCCCACTCCCCTCTCACACACTCCCTGTTCAAACCCTAGCTCCACTCCCACAGCACCCCCCTTAAACCCTAAACCCTAGGCTCCCACACACCCACCCCCCTCAGCGACAGCTGCAGCAGTGGGAGACGAGGGAGGAGGAGGAGCAAGGGGAGGAACACATAACCGCCACCCCCACACCCGCCACCCCCATGCTCGGCACCCCACACCCCCAGCACCACGGAATGCACGGGGGGGGGGGGGGGGGGGGGGGGGGAACGGGACGGGCTGCAGGTGCGGGCTGCTCCAGGGGCGGCCGCTGCAGGTGCGGGCTGCTCCAGGGGCGGCTGCTGCAGGTGCAGGCTGCTCCAGGGGCGGCTGCTGCAGGTGAGGGCTGCTCCAGGGGCGGCTGCTGCAGGTGCGGGCTGCTCCAGGGGCGGCTGCTGCAGTTGCGGGCTGCTCCAGGGGCGGCTGCTGCAGGAGCGGCCGCTTCAGGGGCGGCTGCTGCAGGGGTAGCGGCTGCTGGGGCGGCTGCTGCAGTGGCGGCTGCTCCAGGGGCGGCGGCTCCAGGGGCGGCTGCTGCAGCGGCGGCTGCTCCAGGGGCGGCTGCTGCTGGGGCGGCTGCTCCAGGGGCTGCTGCTGCAGTGGCGGCTCCAGGGGCGGCTGCTGCAGTGACGGCTGCTCCAGGGGCGGCTGCTGCAGCGGCGGCTGCTCCAGGGGCGGCTGCTGCTGGGGCTGCTGCTGCAGTGGCGGCTCCAGGGGCGGCTGCTGCAGTGACGGCTGCTCCAGGGGCGGCGGCTCCAGGGGCGGCTGCTGCAGCGGCGGCTGCTCCAGGGGCGGCTGCTGCTGGGGCGGCTGCTCCAGGGGCTGCTGCTGCAGTGGCGGCTCCAGGGGCGGCTGCTGCAGTGACGGCTGCTCCAGGGGCGGCTGCTGCAGCGGCGGCTGCTCCAAGGGCGGCTGCTGCTGGGGCTGCTGCTGCAGTGGCGGCTCCAGGGGCGGCTGCTGCAGTCACGGCTGCTCCAGGGGCGGCGGCTCCAGGGGCGGCTGCTGCAGCGGCGGCTGCTCCAGGGGCGGCTGCTGCTGGGGCGGCTGCTCCAGGGGCTTCTGCTGCAGTGGTGGCTCCAGGGGCGGCTGCTGCAGTGACGGCTGCTCCAGGGGCGGCTGCTGTTGCAAGGCAGGCCCGCGCGCTGCTGCAAAGCAGGCACGGGCGCAAGGGAGGCAGAGGCGGCGGCCAGGGGGGGGTGCGCCGCGACGAGCAGGTGACAGGGCCACAAGGGGCGGCAACGGAGCCGCTAGGGGCGGCAACGGGGCCGCGAAGAGCGGCGACGGGGCCGCTAGGGGCGGCAACGGGGCCGCTAAAGGCGGCGACGGTGCCGAGATGGGGCGGCGACAGGGCCGCGAAGTGTGGCGACGGGGCCACTGAGGGTAGCGCGAGGGGCCGTGAGAGGAGCAGCGACGGGGCCGCGAAGAGGCCGTGAGGGGCCGAGAAGGGCGGCGTCGGGGCAGGAAGACGCCGCGCGTCCGGGGCGCACGGCGGGCGGAAAACCGCCACGCGCCCCGAGCGCGTGGCGGGAAGAAAAAAGTGTCGCGCGCCACGGGGCGCGCGACAGAAAAGAAAGCAGCGGAAGCACGTGGGGCCCACAGGCCAAGAGCGTAGTCGCTCTGATTCCATGTGAGAGTAGTAGGTAGAGTTAGGTGGGCTTGGGAGCCATAGCTTAGGAGCCTTGGTAGTTGAGTTCGAGGGTGAGGAGAGTGTCGAGAAAATTGTAAAGGAGAATGAGAGTTTCACTATAGGTTCAAGGGTACAAATATGAAAGAAGTGAAGCAAGGTGCACCACCTAACAAGCAAGATAACTACACTAAGTCTACATTGCAGGCAGTTATAAAGTGATGTATACAATAATATTCTGACACTCACCTCGTGTCTCGTCGCGCAATCTTTACGAAGCGAGGGTCGATGAAGTCAACGGGTTCGCGTGGAAGCACATCATCTCGCTAGTTCGACGAGGCAGCCAGCGACGACACGGCATCGCCCTCCCGCGTCTGCTGTAGCTATCGCTGGTGCGAATTTGCCGCGTCGCTGCTTTGGTTTCGGGCTTCCTCTCCTTTTCGTTTGTCGTTTCCGTCAATCCGTGCCTTAACTACTTTCTCCTCCCCCCCCGCCCCCCCCACCCCCCCTCCCTCCCCTTCCCCCCACACTCCTGTTCGTCCGAACGACCCCCGTGGCTCGTCCCGCCCGCGCAGGCGCGGATGGGCGCGCTGGTGTCGTGCTTCGACTGCTTCCACCCGCGCGGCGAGCGCCCGCTGTCCGACGCGGAGAGGCAGGAGGTGGCGCACGCGCGCGGCAGAGCTGCGCAGGCCGCCGAGGACAGGTGCCCGCGGGGGTGGGGGGAAGGGAGGACGGGGAGGGCGGGTGGGGGGGAGAGGAACAGGGGAAGGAATGGGTTGGGGCGAGGGGGAATTGGGGAAAGGAAGGGGATGGGAGAGGGGAAAGGGCATCACCAAAATTGTAAGGTCCGAAATTGGACCAACACCTGTCCGGATCCGAAAAGTGTCCGGAAGGAGTCTAGGGGGACCCATTCGGGACTGTTTTTCACTGTAGCTTCGTCCGAAAACATGCCTTTCGGGCCCAGTTCGCTTTCGCCACGGTAGGGTACCTTTCGGACGGAGTTCGTTGGGCATGCATTATCTCGATTTTGAATGGCTCGATACCACCAATAACACTTCAGAAGCGATTGTTTTCAAAATTGTTTAACCACGAACCGAAAACAGGAACGGTGATTGGCCCACCCCACCCCAACCACTTCCCCAATGCCAACCACTTCCTAAACCACACGTGTCGTCCCTCGAATCAAGCCAACCACTCAGCTCTTGCTCCCAATCTCTCAACCACACCCCCTTGTTTCTCCCCGTGACAGCCATTTTCACCTAACCACTCTTACTCCAATTCATTCGTGTTGTGAATGTTCCTTAGGCACGTTAGCTCTTGATTCTAGCTACTAAGTATTGTTTTCTTGCTCGTGTATTCAGTGAAACTTAAGAGTAAGACCCCGTTCATTCTTCCCTTTATTTTTGTTTCCTATACCTCTCCAGGTTCGAAAGCGACCCTGACTGTTTCCTCGGGGCGCTCGACAATGCAGGTGATTGTCGTCTTTTTGTTCCCGTCGCTCCCTCTCCCTCGTCGCTTTCTCTCCCTTGTCGCTCACTCATTTCCGTCGCTTTCGTTCTCCCGTTACTCCATCTCCCGTCACTCCCTCTCCCGTAACTCCCTCTCCCATAACTCCCTCTCCCGTCACTCCCTCTCCCGTAACTCCCCAGAGAATTCCTGTCGTTTTATTTTTTGTCAGGCAGTCGTAAGATAGCAATTCGCCCCGCAAGCCGCGCTAGCCAATCCTGTATCTCCTTTCCGACCGCTCGATACTCCGCCAGTCCCCGCTCTCTTCCCGCCGGAACTCCGCCACCCCGCGCTCCCTTGCGCGCGATGGCGGACCCGATGGACGTGGACCCCGCGGAAGCAGGCTTGCGGAAGGCGCGGGATAAGGGGAAGGGGAAGCTGGACGCGCCTCATCACGCGCGCGCATCTGCAGGTGAGTGCCTCTGCAGGCACGCGGCTACAGGTGCGCGGCTCATCAGGTGAGCGCCTCAGCAGGTGCGCGCCTCTGCTGGTGTGCGCCTCTGCATGTGCGCGCCTCTGCTGGTGTGCGCCTCTGCTGGTGCGCGCCTCAGCAGGTGCGCGCCTCTGCATGTGCACAGCAATTTTTAACCTCTCGTTCACCCTCGATTTTCGCTAACGAAACCCATTGTTTTCAGTCTTTTTTTGTTTTTGTTCAGGTAGGCAGAAGATTATATACAAGAATAAATATTTAATTTTACGGTACTTACAAGACTACCTCTTGTTCGGGATTGAAGACTACTGCAACCATCAACAGGGTGCACCCCAGATGTGTTGCTGCAAGTTCTAATACCTAACCCAATGGTTATTTCTTGTGTGCAGGAAATCAAATGCCCCATTAACAAGATGCAGTTATTGTTTGTGGCGTAGTTGCAGTTCAGTTAGATGGTTTCAAAGCTATTATTTTCTCTTTAGAATCAGCTTGCTCTCTTTATCATTGTATACCATGTCTATATAATTAAGAAATGTATATGTGCCATTTTTTGTACGAGTCAGTGAGTGCAGCTGTCGCGTATGTCTGTTTGGTTAAGCATTCCTTCCGGAATGTTTCAGGAGTGTTTCGGGAGTGTTCCCGGACCCGTTCGGGACCCCTAGAGGATCCTCCAGAGGACTCCAAAAGGACCCATCATTGGAATCCGGATGGAGTCTTTTTGTAGGGTCCCGAAAGGACCCACATAGGACCCGGAAAGGACCCTTTTCGGCAGTGTTTGGGACCTTCAATTTTTGTGATGGGGGATGGGAGAGGGGAAAGGGGGATGAGAGAGGGGCAAGGGGGACGGGAGAGGGTAAGGGGGACAAAAAAGGGCCAGGAGGACGGGAGAGGGGCAAGGGGGACGGGATGGGAGAGGGGGAACAGAGATGAGAGAGGGCAAGGGAGACGGGAGAGGGGCATGGGGATGGGAGCTATGTTGGAATTGACGCGTCGAGCGTCTTTGACGCTAGCGTCTGGACGCTTGACGCACAATCCTGATTCTTTTGACGCAGTTTTTTTACGCTCTGGCAGGCAGCGGAAAAAAACTTTCGGGAGTGGCGCGGATAAAGTTCAGGGGTAATAGGGGAGGAATTGCGATCTAACGCCGTAGGAACATGAAATATGCGATCTAACCCATTTCTTGTCTAGGAGCTTGCGAAGGGAAGAGTGACAACCTAGTTGGTTGGACTTTCTAGTTGCACTGCGGTACAATGTGGTGTCTAGGGCGTTTTTGTGTTTCTGATTTGTGAGAGGTGTTCAATGTCGAGTTGATATTTGAAGTCGCGATTTCGTCGTGAAATTGCTGGTCGATTTTTTTTTTTTTTTTTTTGCAATTTCGGGCTGCCGTGTTTTTTTTTTTTTTTTTTTTTTTTTTTAACCAGCGTCAAGCGTCAAAACGCGCGTGAAGCGTTGTGTGTCCAAAACGCTTGACGCAACGCAACCCCTCCAGAGCGTCGATTCCAACATAGGACGGGAGAGGGGTAATGGGGACGGGAGAGGGGCAAGGGAGACGGGAGAGGGCAAGGGAGACGGGAGCGGGGCAAGGGAGAGGGGAGAGGGGCAAGGGAGAGGGGAGAGGGGCAAGGGAGAGGGGAGAGGGGCAAATGAGCGAATAAGCGCCTTGCCTGAGTGACCCGTCGGCCTCATTGCAGGGGGGCTCGTGCCCTTTCCACGACAAATGGAAGAGCGCTAAGGGGACAGAAGATGGGAGTTTTGAGACTGTTGGTGCAACCCTACGGTTTGCACTCGGCTTGTTGTCCGTGTGCGTGAATGTGTGTGTGTATGGAATGGTATGAGGGCATGGGATAATATATATTTCATGCTTATAATTGTGTGTGAATGTTGAGTCATGATGTCGAGTGTGTGTGTCGAGTCAATAGCGAGTTATCGCTAGACGCGAGTTACGCGGTCGTTTGTGTCTCGCGCGCGGTTTTTATTTTGTCGTGCGCGGTTTCTATTTTGTCCTGTGTCGAACGTTCGGCGTGTCGCAGGTGTGTGCAGCAGACCCATTAAGAACTCAAGGATGAGTTTGTGATGAAGAGCCCGAGCCTTGGTGTCAAGCCTCAAGTGATTTCGAAGCTCGCCAAAAAGGGTACACCTCAAGATATTGAAGATAGTTACATTACTTTGTGTAGTGTAACATTTCACTTGGTGTAGGCCCTAGTGCAGGGTAGTTTCGAGACCCTTCGTGGTTGGGGACAGTGTGGCACTGTTCCACATCACTGTACCTCGGCTCTTGGGGTTTGTAGGAGCTGGGAGTCATTCCCAACTCGTAACTCTTCCTATCTTGTGTTCTAAGACTATAGTGGCTGCCATAGTACCGTTCGTTCAAACCGACGCTGTGTCGTCAATTCTTTATCAAATCGTGCAATCTAAATTGCTAATCGTAGACGACGTGAAGACGCTCCAGATCCAATTTGAATCAAGTCATTTGCAGCTGTGAGCAGAACGCTATCAACGTTTGAAGCCGCTGTGCAGAAATCCGTCTGTGCTCTCTATCTTTCGTTTTAGGCACATTCAAGCCTATTGTGACTATAACAAGTGGTATCAGAGCCCCTTGAAGCAGTTTCGACAATGTCTGGACCTGAGAAAAGGGGTGGCAGAGGTGCTGGTGGCAGTGGAGAAGCTCAAGCTCAAGGCCAACCCCGTGATTCAGCCATGGCGCCCATGCAACCAAGTCTTGGCCCACCTAGGGATGAGCCTAGGGTGTTTGGGCTTGACAAGTTCAACAGTGACAACTTTGCTGAATGGTCCTTCAAGATGGAGAACATCTTTGACCACTATGACCTGCTGGAGGTGATGGAAGGAACGGAGAAGCGCCCCGAGAACGACCCGGAGAAGAGCCCGTGGGTGCGGAAGAGCGCACAAGGCTATCTCTTACTTGGGCAAGCGTTGGGGAGCAGTCAGATCCGTCACATCAAGCCATTCCAGCGTGAACCAGAGAAAGGACCAAAGGCATGGGCTGCTCTCAAGGGTGTACATGCTCCTGCAACAGCGGCGGTAGCGGTGGTGTTGGAACGGCAAATGGCGGCACTACGAATTGAAGAAGACGAAGCGGTTGAAGAAGGGGTGCAGAAATTCTTCGACTTGTTGACGCGGCTTGAGGGAGCTGATTTGAACTACAGTGAGCTCCAAAAGAAGACCAAGTTGCTGGCCTTACTCCCAGAGTCATGGTCCTCGCTCATCATCAACCTTAATCGCGACTTGCCCCGCCTCTCGCTTGAAGACGTGAAGCGAGCTATCCTTCAAGAGGATTTCCGCCGCCGTGAGTTGGCGAGTGCGGATGGCGCTGGGGCAGCGAGCATCGGCCGTGGATATGGTCGAGGAAGAGGCAGAGGACGAGGGGGAGGAAGGTTTGGTGGCAGCAACTTCGGCGGAGGCCGCAGGAGTGGCGGTTACGGCAGCGACGACAAGAGCTACGGACGCGGTCGCGGCCGATTCGACGGCGAGTGTCACTATTGCCACAAGAGCGGACACATGTGGCGCGACTGCTACAAACTCCCTGATGGTTGGACCCCTGCTCAAGGCCAAGAGGGTAGAGGAGCAGGAGGAGGGAGAGGACGAGGCCGTGGAGGCCGTGGCGGTCGCGGTGGCGGAGCTGCAAACATGAAGAGCGGAGACAACGACAAGGACCCGAGCGACGATCGATACCCGGGTCTATTCTACTTCGTGTCGACGCAAGTACCGGCTGGTCCAGAGAAGGATGAAGGCTTTGAGGAGCCAGCAGCTGTGGGGAAGGTGACCCTACACCCCCTGGACTATTGGGTGATTGATAGTGGCGCTACCTATAGCATGACACCTCGCCCGGACTTGCTCACCGAACTCGAGCCGTCACCGGTGAAGCATGTCACATCGGCTTTGGGGCAGCGAGCAGAGGTGAAAGGCATGGGCAAGGCCATGTTCAAGGGTGCTGATGGGAAGATGGTGGGCCTCAAGAACGTGCTTTGGGTGCCCAGCCTTGCTGCAAACCTGATTTCCGTGCGGCGGTTGGCAAAGGCCGGCATGGACACGAACTCGAAGGGAGCCAAGACCTACACCGCAAGGCTTGGCGATCGAATTCTTTGGGACCTTCATGAGGACAGGGATGTCTACAACGAGATGTGGCAGATCCCAGTGGTCCCTATGCCTAAGGAGAGGCAAGTGGCAGCAAGCATCAGCACCAAGGATGGAGCGGTCGGTAGCGACGATGGCGCGAACGGTCGCGCTAAGGAGAATGAGCTCAAGAAGAGCAAACCTGGAGGGACCAGCAAGTTCAGTGAACCTAAGGAGAGTGGTGCAGCAACCAAGGAGCAGCAAAAGGGTGAGGAGAACCCAGAGGCAGCAGCGGAGGAGGACTACGGAGAGAGTATGTGGGGCGCTATTGCGAGCGCGGCATTCTCCAATCCAACTTCGGCTACGGGGGAGTGTGATTGGCTCACCTTGCATCGGCGCATGGGGCATGTGGCCCTGCCCATCTTGCAGCAGCTAGTGAAGAATGAGATGGTTGCTGGCATACGTGTGAAGGGGGAGCCCGATGAGGTGCTTGGCTGCCCGACGTGCATTCAAGCCAAGTTCACCCGGTTTCCGTTCCCTAGTTCGGAGGCAACGGCAAAGGCACCGCTTGATGAGGTGGTGATGGACGTGGTGGGCCCCCTGAAGCTTGGAGCTGCTGGAGCTGAGTATTTTCTCACCATTGTCGACGTCTACACCCGCATGACTTGGGTGTACGTGCTGGCCAAGAAGAGCGACGTGGCTGAAACGTTGAAGACGGATTGGTTCCCGATGGTGGAGCGGCAACAAGACCGTCTAGTCAAGTCAATCCGCACCGATCGAGGGGGAGAGTTCCTGAGCAAGGAGTTTGGGTTGTGGCTGAAGAAGAATGGTATTCGGCACTCCCTCACCATGCCATACTCCCCTGCAATGAACGGCATCGCCGAGCGAGCGAACCGCACAATCACGGAGGCGGCACGCGGGTTGCTCATTGAAGCCGGGCTACCCGACTATTTCTGGCCTG